AGACATGGTCTGAGCATAACATACGGTGCCTATTAATTGTAATTATCTTAGACGAAACATATTAATACTTTATACACATTATATTCAGTTGAAATTGTCGAGATTGACTTAAGACTTAGAAAATGTATATATCCCGATCCCGGCGCAGATATATATAAATCCTTCCAAGACCAGGAGAATAATTTCCCATACAACAACCCAACTCCAACACCGACACTAGTAATAGCAAAGACAGTCAAATTGATATACACCAAAAAAGCAGGATAAACATCAAGCAGAAGAAGACCCCTTCACCTCTCTCCCCTTCACCCAAACCCTAACAATATTCCGATCATCCCCGGTCATCAGAAACTTCTCAAAAACACCCTCAACACCATCTTCCTCCTCAACAGGTGCCATAACCCCCTCCGCGACGCCCGTCCTCACAAGACACGCATCAAACTCCAACCCGGGCGCAAACCGCCCCACCCGATCCTCCAACCCAGCAACCTTCGCCCCGCCCAGCGTCGCCAAATAAAAGCTCTCCGCAACACTCAACGGCGCATCTTTTCCCCCCGTCTCCGTCTGCTTCGCAACAGACACCATAAACGCCGCCCGCATCACATCAAGCATAGACGACGAGTACCCGCCCCCGCAATCCGTGCCCAGACCGACCTTGATCCCGCGCGAGAGATACTCCCGCACAGGGGCGATCATGTACTCGTCCATGGTCGTGTTGGGAATGGGACAGTGCGCGACACCGCAGTCCAGTTCTTTGAGACGCGGGAACTCCTCCGGCTGTGGGTAGATTGCATGGGCCAGGATAGTTCGGTTAGTGAGTAGACCGTAGTTATCGTAGAGTTCCGTTTCGTTCTTGAACTGCGGGAAGAGGTCCCGGGTGAAGTTGACTTCGCCGTGGGATTCGTTGAAGTGCGTTTGCACCGGTATACCCGGGTTTTGTTTCACAATGGTCCCCAATTCACCTAGAAGATGCTCGTCGCATGTTATTGCGAACCGAGGCGTGATGACCGGGGTCACGAGACCAGTCTTCCCATCTAACTCTTTCACCTTGGCGATGAATTCGACCGTATCGGAGACGGACTCGTCCACTGAAGAGTCAACGTACCAATCCGGCGCATGGCGATTCATATTACATTTCCCGATTAGTGCGCGCTGGCCAATGGCTAGACATGTTTCGGCGAGGATGACTGAGGCATCCTTGTGTCGCGACCCGTAGTAGCAGGCTGTTGTTATGCCTTGCTTGAGACTGCCTTGCACGGCGGCGCGGTAGAGTTGTTTTGCGTAGATGGGGTCGGCGAGTTTGGCTTCGTGCGCGAAGGTGATTTGCTCCAGCCAGGTGAGGAGGGGGATACCACGGCCGAGGCCGCGTTGGGACCATTGTGGGGCGTGTGTGTGGGTGTCTATGAAGCCTGGGATGAGGAATTCGGTGGCTGCGAGGGTGGTTACGGGGATTGTGTCGGGGTTGTGGTTTGCTTGGGTGAGGAGGGTTGGGATGTCGGTTGGGTTGGTGGAGGGGTGGAGGGATTGGATTTTGCCTGTGGAGGAGATGATGAGGAGGGTGTTTGGGAGGATTTCCAGGGTTTGAGGATCTTTGCTGTGGATTAAAGTGCCGTGGAAGGCTTGGGGGGTTTTGGTGGTGGTGGTCATTGTGGTTGTTGTTGTGTTGATGGGGAAGTGTGAGTGAGTGAGTGTTTTCTTGGATGTTTTTTACTGAGGGGGGAAAGAGAAGATTGTTGTTGTTAATTGACATGGTCTGATGTAGTATTTGATTAAAGAGGTGGGGTAAAATAATAGACAGTGATAAGCGGACGAATAATAATGGTATCTCAACTCCATTGCATACGAATAAATTATTTATATCTTCACAGGGTATAAAAGGTCGCCATCTCTTCCTGAAACCAATCGTACGAATAGAACAATTCGTCGGCCAGCTGAGCATCTATCAGGGGCACATTTCCTGACCCGTCCACTAGGAGCACATCGTCCAAGGTGGCCGCCATAGGCACCGGGGGTGCCACCAGAACGTTTTGTTGCTGCAGCTGTGGTTGCAGCGGTGGCTGAGTCTGGGGTTGGCTGTGGATCTGCTCTTGTTGATATGCCAAGTGACTAAAGATGACTGTACTATGATGGCGAAACGTCTCCGCCAGGCGTTCCACTCCCGGCCGTCGTTTGCCAAACTCTTCCAGTACCACGACCACTGCCTGAATAGCCCGTCGCATCATCTGGTCGTTCGGTTGCCAGGCTGCTACATGACCATCCCGGACGGAAAGGAAATTCTGATTGAGACACCACAAGATGGTGATCCCTGCAAAGTAGATCTGGCTCAGAGTCAGCCAGATCCATTTGAGCTTCCCGACGGAATAGCTGTCCCAATATGATCGGATCACTTGGATGCTGGCATCGCCACAGCTCACAATGCTAGTCGCATCTGGGGTCGGATTTCGCGGGCTGGGTCGATGCATGAGAAGTAGAGTGGTCGCATAAAGATAATCGTAATAGCTGGTTGAATACAGGAGTGCGGGAGGGTACACAGGCGCATTCCGACGCCAGTCATCAAGCTCTTGACGAAAGTGAAGAAGTGTAAGGGAAACCTCGGCGGGAGCAGGAGGAGGATGGTTATTATATACTGCAAGGGTTAGTCCAGACGTATCATAGTACCTTTCGGCAGACTTACAGTAACGGTAGATCCGCGAGAATATCCGGCGCAGTCGCACCACCTGCACTGGGATCGTCATGGCACTGGCTCCCGGCGCTTCGCTCCAGTCATCGTTAAATTCGCGCGGTAAGTTCACGGTGATATCTTCGTCCGCGATGCCCAACGGTCGGGCAAGTGTGCTGGCAACAAGTCGATCAAGGTTGTATAGACTCCAGAACGCTCGCTTAGACATCTCGTCTTCCACCACACTGGCCGCATTCCGAGCTTTATGCAGACCGAGACTCGTCGCCAGGCGTAGTGCGCTGCCGAGCACATGCCACACGCTAGGGCCGTTCGTGGAAAACATCGTCCATAGTGCAAGGCTCAGTAAGGCCCGCACCGCTGACAGATCCTCATTCTGTAACGACAGAGATAATGTTTCCTGGCTCGCACGGTAGTACTCATTTGCTTGTGAGCCCTCAGCGTTACTGATCAGCATGGCGATAGCGATCGTGATGTGATATGTGTATAGCACGTCGGGTGGTGGCACGACACCGGTATATATGCGTCGTAGCTGCGTGAAGAAATCATGGCGATGAAGGAATGGGTATTGATAGCCAATGCCGTCGAAGTACTGCGAGGCCACTCGTTCAGCATCCTCCAGGGAGGCTAAGCGAAGAACGCGCGGGGCGGACGCGACTGGGCGCGCAACCGATGGTCGTCGATTTTCTAGCTGATCTCGAAATATCTCGCCTACATTGGGTAGTTCTGCTCCCACAGCGGGAGACTCAGCTGGACTGCATGCTGAGGCTGTCGCGGACGTCGTTGAATGGGAGTTGTCTCGGCCCATTAACACCGTTGGTACCTGGTACCAGTCTAGATCTCCTTCCCCGTCTAGCGCGCTCCCTGTTGGCCTGTCGGCTACGGAGAGGCCCGTCTTGCGTCGCAGAACGTCTTCTAGCCATCGCACGCGGTTTTGAAGATTCTCAAGCTGATCTCGAGGGACGGAGGCACTGGCGACTTGGGGACCCGGCGGAGGAATCGTACATCGTACGCCAGCGCGAGTACATGCGGAACAGTTCGGATAGCGAAAATCACATTTCTTTTTCCGCTTGCGACAAAAGTCACAGGCAGTTGAAACCCGTTTACTGCGATGGGGGTGGGAAGTATGGGATGGCGTTTGCGGCTGCAACGATGTCGGAGTCGTCAAGGAAGGGGGCTGAGAGAGCGGGGAGGTTTCAGGATGTAGTATTGGAGGTGGGGGAGTAGACACATGCGATGACAAGGAAGAATCAAGACGAAACTTGCCCAGCTGATGTCGAAACTCGGGGTCGCGGTTGGTCATAATGGAGGATTACAGCAAAGACCAAGGGGTCGGCGGCTCGAACCGCAGGCCATTCCGATGGTGGAGATGATGGCTTGGGGGGATCATGGGATATCCTCCCGCTGCTTTAAAGGTCGTCCCTCCACTAGTCCCGTTGAGGTTTGGTTCCCCCCCCGTCACGCTGGCCGAACCTGCGCCGATCCCTTTTCTTCTCTTGCCCTAAGCCTAAGTCCGTAACAGTAGATTGACTCTTAGGTACTCTGGATCGCTGAGCCAGCCAGCCACTGCTCCTCCAATCGGCTAAGTAGATACTGTTCCTGTACGGCTGTACCACGCGGCCAATCTTGAGATTTTAGGTTATTAACCCCGCTTTCCCCTGAATCCACGAGATTTGACCTCCAGGCGAGAGTGACCCATAGACTCTCGCACTCCTGCCCAAATTAGGCGGGAATCCATCATACGTGATTGGGAAATGAACTGATTGAACACCAGCCCTGATTGGATGATCTGTTAAGTCCCCTCGTCTAGACCCAAATGCCCCCTCTGCAGTGGACATGAGCACGTCCCGAAACAAGGGTTGTGATATGCGCCCAGCATACTGTGTACATCCCATGATTTTCCCGACATGGATGAACCTGGTAGATTGCTGAAACTCAACAGATCCCAACGGCTCCCAGCAGGTCCCTCTGAGAAAAGGTGTCAATCATAGCCCTAGAGGTTTGCAGATCGCCCCTGATGTACCTCTTACCCCTCACTCTTACATACCGAGGAAGAACTCCCGGTCTCTTGTGTCCCTTACCTAAAGTAGCTGTGAAATTTCACATGTGGACCAGGAATCAACTGTCGGTATAAACTAAGCCAAAGGGTCTATTTAATATTTCAATCGGGACCACCCCGCGGTATTAAGGAAAGGTCGTTACGGACCGAGGATCGATCGAGGGCGGATAGTTACTAAATTCATTTCACAGTCCAAATATAAGCAAACCAACAACTACCCTCTTCTCCTACTCAACATTATCGTACCGCCAGAATACGACGGAAATGACTATCGCAACCGTAGAAACGGGGTACGTGGGGAACCTCACCCAAGACCAAGAAGAGAAACTCCTCCAGCTATGGGCGATTTTCTTGCGATCGTGCGATCCGCAGTTATCTCGCACAGACACGAGTCAAAGTGGCCAAACCACCTCCGCCACATCAACTAAACAGCGCAGAAGGCTCTTCTCGCTATCATGGTCGGCGGAAGACCCAGCCAAATCCAACGATGCGCCTCCGGTGCCGGCCAAATTGCTTTCCGAGCTCCAGGCGATGAAGATGAACGCACAGGAGATCAAGTTAATTCAGCAAGTTTTGACCAAGCTTAAACCGGACGAACTTCGCTCGGCTTTCTTTGCTATGATGAAACAAGATCATCCAGACACATTCCTTCTTCGATACTTACGTGCTGAGAAATGGAATGTCAGCAAAGGTTTCGTCAAGTTTGTATCGGCACTGGAGTGGTGGAGCAAGCAGAAACAGGTGGAAACTGAGGTAATCCGCAAGGGAGAACTTCATGCATTACAGCAGTCGCAGAGCAGCACCGGTAGCACTGATAAAAAAGATGGTGAGGACTATATGGCCCAGTTGCGCATGGGTAAGGGCTTTTTTCATGGCTCCGATAAATCCGGTCGTCCTATTTGTGTTGTGAGAGCGCGGACCCATAAGCCAGGTGCGCAGAGTGAAAAGGCACTTAATTCATATATTTTGTATAACATCGAGTTGATGCGACTTCTGCTTGTTCCTCCTGTTGAAACCATGGTAAGTGCCCGTTACGCGCAATTGAGCATGAGAAGGTATGAAATCGGCTAATTCGTGGACTGTATGAGTAGACACTAATCTTCGACTTGACAAATTTTGCTCTTTCAAACATGGTAAATTACTATGAACCTTCAAGGGGCTCTGTGCCATTTTGCTAACTATTCAAAAGGAGTACGCTCCAGTCAAGTTCATCATCGAGTGTTTCCAGGAAAACTATCCCGAATCGCTTGGATATATGCTCTTCTATAATGCTCCCTGGTTCTTCTCTGGTACGTACAGTGCACCTTTGCACTCTCATCCAGCTACTTAGACCCGATGTTAATCCCCGTACGCAGGAATTTGGAAGGTTATCCGGGGCTGGCTTGACCCCGTTGTGGCCGCCAAAGTTCATTTCGTGAACTCGGTTGAAGACTTGGAGCAATTTATCGATCGATCCCAGATCGTGAAGGAACTTGGCGGCGCTGAAGATTGGACCTACGAATACGTAGAGCCTGAACAAGACGAGAATGCTCAACTTCAAGACACAACCACAAGAGATTCTATTATGGCCCAGCACCAACAGATCGGAGAGGAACTCCTTGAAGCAACCTCGATGTGGCTTTCCGCCAAGGACAAGGGAAATTTGGGTGATGCTTCACAGCAAAAAGATCGCAGGGCAAATATCGCCATTCGGTTGCGAGAGAATTATTGGAAGCTGGACCCGTACATACGTTCTCGTACACTGCTGGATCGCATTGGTGTGATTAAAGCTCACGGTAATATCGACTTTTATCCCGCCAAAGGGGGCATGGGGGAGATCAAGGAAGAAAATGAGAAGGAGGCAAAGGCTGTTGTTGATCAAGTGGAATATGCAAGTGAGGCACAGGTGGCCAGCGCAGCTTGATCAATTCAATCCTCATGTGATCGTCTTGAGGGATATTATGACTTATCTACGAGTTATTTCCAGCAGTTTGTTCCAAGAATATAGAATAGAAAAAAAAGAAAAAAAAAAGGTGAAATGCTATCACAGGGTTAGTATCGAAGTAGTAATGGTAGTCTTAAACTATCCAGTAAAGCCCTTCCACAGTTGCTATACCTCTAAGCCGACATTCGATCTAATCGATATACACCAAACACCGATAATTAAATAGAGAAAGATCTACCAACCGATAAAAATTCAATCAGGATGCATAAATGTTATTCTAGAGATATGGTGTATATTTTCTAGTAGACCAACAGTTAGTTTGGGAATACATCAATGCTGTACCTTCCACCTACTCCATAGCATACCCATGCGATACTCTACTGTATTCTATTTGTAGTATGACTGTCGTTTCCATCATGACATAGTGCAAAGAAGTTTCTTCTCTCCATGCCTTCTTTGTTGTCTTGTGCTTACATAACCTCTCTTTCCAGGACTCTCAGAAGCATGTTGGCAAGGTCGTTATCAAGATCTACAGCACCCAAGGGATTGATTACACAGCTATGTTATGTTTTTATCTGTTTTGTAGCATTGCCCTCTTACATATAGCCCGCAGCAACCCTCAGTTGCCTTGGCTGAAATCGATTGTTTCATCTTAGTATGATACTATTACAAGTTCAGTTATTGTTCTTTAATGTGAATTTGCATCGCAGTGAATTTATTATTACCCAAGAAAGAAACTGAAATCCGGGTTATTGTGACATATATTACTATCTTTTACCGTAACCACGGGCGGCGCTACTCGTCATACATACACCAGTGGTCTCATTCTTTGGTTAGGTAGAAACACAGTTTACCTTCCACCTCTCCAAGCCTCACACTCATATCCCGTTCCTCATTTTACCAGCCATATCACTTCCTTAATCACGACAGAATGCCGTCTAGCTCCCGTGCTCAGGAGAAGTCCGTCTCACGACTTATAGAGCGGCTTTGCAACTGCAAGACGGAAATTATTACCGTCGAACGCTGTCGTAAGATGGGAATCGAGGTAGCCCCAATTTCACTGGAGGACATGGCTGATCCGGAGTTGCGCCCGTGCTATTTTCGTGCTACCCCGTCGGACTTTATGGAGCAGCATCCTATAAACCAAAAGTATCTGCAAGGTTTGATGAAAGAGGACGCCCGTTTACTTACGCTTCGGGAATATGATCCTGAGGTTGCCAGCAAGAGTGGCCCTACTGCTACACTGGCTGAACGCATTGCGGCCAATCCAGCAGGTCGAGTAAGGCAAATCACCAGAATTCTTGATCATTATATCTGTCATGTGGTTCGTGATAATATGCCTTATGGATATGCTATGGTACATGTCAGGGGATGGAGCTATGCATGGTAGGTTCAACCCAATATGAGGTTTGATTTATAGTGTTTTTCTAAATCTACCTCTGGCCAGTGAGAGCGACATCAACCCGCTCGCAATGGCTTACTATGCACCGACAAACCTCATTGCATATACCAAGCATCGCACCGTTACGATTTATGAAGTGGACAATCATCGAATGCCACATGTGGCAATAGTTACGGAGCACTTCACTCATCAGGAAACCGACGAGAAGGATTTATATGTTCATGAGCTAGTCTCTATCCTGAAAGCCATGTCCATACGTTACTCCCAGCCTGAATTCGAGCAATATAAAGTGATACCAGTATGTACTCTTTGAAGGCCTCTCCACTTCTCTGACAACGGCTACCTGCTTATGACAGCATAGGTCCTGCTGCTGTCCTTTATGTCCCCGCAGAACGGCCGCATTCTCGAAGCAAATCTTGATGAAAGAAAACTAATTGTCCGAAGAAGCCCAATGTACAGTTTCAAGGCCAACAGAGATGCCCCATTCGAGCTTTTCTCCCGTTGGTTACTCGGTGACCCCATCGGGATGACGTCCATCACCGAAGAGTGAAGCGAGGGGAATGGAAAGACTAGTGCAAATTTGTAACGGATGGGTTGTTGAAGTATTGTGTGGGCTGTGCATTTTAGTTAAGAAATTGACAATGAATGGGGCTATTCTGAAATTAGTCGAAGAGGTCATTAGGGTCTTGAGATTGAAAACGGCCATGGGCGCAAGTGGTATTTAGGCGTACCTGCGGCATATTCAGCCAGTACTTCTTAAATCGACTCTTGGATTGATTTAGTTCTCCATGTCCATAGTAATAGACACCTCTACCTTTGGAATTGTAGTAGATAAGCTTAGTGGTGTCGTGGATTATCAGCAGATTTGGAATACAGTATCACAGTTATTCAAGTTCGTCTTTTTATAGCTATACTAGGAATCTGTGTATCTGCACAACTGCCCAGTCTTCCACAACTTTATCCTATACCTTCTTGTGTAGGCCAGTATTCAGTAATTATTGGATGAGAATATGTCACACCATCTAGATCCACTTTGGGTTCAATTTGCGATGATTTGGTTTACACTCCTTCATTTGGACTGATATTAGTGAATATTTTGAGCAAGTTATTTGACTAGTTTGATTCCACAAGTGAATGACCACTGATTCTGATTCCAAAGGGATCTTTTCCCACATTTCCCTTATGCTTTGATTTGCGTTTATATCACTGATTAGTACCTCAAAGCCTTTATTCATCGGATTCCTACTACCACTGTGTCCTATTCATTGTACGTCCCTTTAGAATCATTCGATATGCCGTCCGCCAAGTCCCAGATCCCCAGCACAGATGAGCAATGGCAGGCGGCTGTTGCAGATGCAGGTATTGAGAACATGTCTCTTCAGGATTTGAACCTTGTGTCAGGTTCTCGTGTCAACAAAGCTCAATTTCTACTCATGCACATTCTGTGCAAGCTCAATGAGCCTGAGGAGTTTGATCCAACCCAGTGGGGCCTAGAGAGATTCGCAGATGCCCAAGCAATACTACAGGATACACCAGAATTCCAAAGATATCTGAAGAGTGTCCAAGACGATGCCCTGACTACCACTAGGAGCCCCGATGATCCTTTCCCTTTGGGGATCTTCGAAATCCCAAGATGCCATCAGCGGTATGTTCAACAAATAGGAACGCGCACGAATCTGAAGTTATCTTCCGTCCATTCGGACCGCAAGGAAGCATGGGACGCTGTGCCTACTTCTGACGAGATAGTTGTTACTTTCGCAGCCATTGATTATCTCCATGCCGTATGTCTAAAGAATCCTGGTGTATATTCCCAATGGACTGCGAGCTGCTATTCCTTCCAGGCGCTAGGGGAGGAGGGCTTCCAAGCCCGCACTGATGGAGTGCTCCATTTACATGAGGAACCAGAGAAGGTGTATGCGCTGCTAGAGTGCAAGGCAAGGTGGAGAGAAGATGCCCTCCCTCAGGTTCAGTATCAGGAGGCAGCTCAGATAGTGGCATGGATTTTACAGAAAAACCATCCAGAAACAGCAATGCCGGGACGGTATGTTTTTTATGGACTTCTGTTTTTTGTAAGTAACCTAACATAAGGGCCTTCCCCAGAATATTTCTGATTTCCCATAACCGAAACGAAATCACCTTGACCTTTGGAACCCTCGATCGCCACTACCGCAACTTTTTACTAGGAAAGACTCATGCCTCCCGCTTCCTCACTCTTTACGAATACGGCCCATTTCTCCTGGATAACGCTTCCTATATGGAGCAAATGGCTTGTATTGTTCTGGCATTTGTTCTGGGTGTGGGGAAAGGCAGGTAGAGGAACTAATACCTTGTATTCGCATGATATTATGCCGTGCGTTGCAGTTTAAGGTTCAATATCAGGAACTGGCAGGATACATATGTGAGGGTGGAAAGGGGAGCAAAATTACTAGTAAATAAACTCGAATATCTGCAAACAAAATACTTCTAAGTTCAAGCTTAGACCATTGAAGCATCGCAGACTGTTTAGCGTCCAGTATTGTATGCAACCTACCAGCAACCTAGCCATCATTCGCTGTTATCCTTGCCGCCGCCTGAGGAAACAGCTTCCACCCGTTAACAAGAATAGTACCTCTAGGAATATCATTCTGCGTCTCGAAATCCAGAATATCTTTTTTATTTTCCTCCATAGTCTGTTCAGTAGAACATGGCACGCCACAATCTGCCCCATACACCACATTCTTAAGCCCTACCATCTTCAGGGCGGGCTGCAGCCCCGTCTTCGCAGTCGCAGCCGTGTCAACGAACAAGCGCCCAAGCTGCTCCTCAATCTCCTTTCTCGTGATATTGTTCGGATTCGGCACCCATTCCTCTGTCCCAAGCAACGCCAGCCGGCCAGACAGAACGGGTAACACCCCACCACAGTGCGCCAAAACGAATTTGATATCAGGATAGCGTCGGAAGACACCATTGTAGAGCATATCGACAACGATTCTTGTGGTATCAAAAGTCACCTCTATCAATGGCGACGGACGACCGTTTGTTGGCCCCGCGTAGGCATTGGGGTGGATATGAACAACCGCCTTTCGAGAGTTTAACACATCCCAAACAGGTCCGAGACTCGAATCTCCCAGCCCGACACCCTTGTAGACGGTTGTTACAGCGAATCCATCTGCCGGGATCTCGGATGTCGATGTTGTTCGCTTGATTTCGCTAAGACACAGCTCTGGATTGTTCGTTGGTAGCGCCGCCAGGACCCCGAAGCGGGAGGGGTATTTTGACACAAGTGACAAGGCGTAGGTGTTGGCTTCTTTGAGTGCCTCGGGACTGCTCTGTGGAATGTATGAGAGCATTTGCATCTGCACGTTTTCCCGGTCATTGTACTGGAGGATGGACTCGACTTCCCATGTTACGGGGCGCGAGACCATGAAGCATGCTGCTCGGAAGGATTCGGCTAGGGCTTCTGCCTCGCCTGGTGCTTGCGGTGGGTAGAAATGTCCGTGGATATCTAGCCAGCCTTGTGGTGACATTCTGAGATTACCGTACCCGAGTAGATATGTCTATCTTTCTTAGTCGTCTTATAACAATCGGTTTTGAAGTGATGGATACAGTAGAAGTTATAGAGAGTAGATCCGGATATTGGGAAGGGCCCGGAGGTAGCGCAGACGGAGATAACAGGACATTACAGGATTCCGATCGGATTTAGGGCTTGTCACAGCTTGCTGGTTGGGTGTCACGTAACCCCATTTTGTGTTATGATTTAGTAGTAAGGAGGCCTCATGTTGACCATTCCATTCAATCCTTGAACTCGGCCGTAAGAGGGCCGCAATAAAAGGAGTTCCGCATACTCGATGGATATTTATAAAAAATCAACAAGGCGGAAACTTGTTCACTGCCATTTCACCCCGGCCAGCAGATCATTCGCGAGCGGAGCTACCACTGTACTAGTATTACTTGGAATTGTGAAGAAAGAACCCTAGTCAGCTTCCAGCATGCATCTAGTCAAGACACAGGAGTCCCCTGCGGGCATGTTTGAAATCATACAATTCGCTGATAACGAGATCCCACCCTACGCTATCCTGTCCCATACCTGGGAGCAAGAGCAAGTTACTTTCCAGAATATTAGTCAAAAGTCACGCCAAGGATATGCTGGGATATGATAAATTAAGACAATGCTGTGCCAAAGCGAAGGATATGGGATATGAATATTACGTGGATCGATGCGTGTTGTATCGATAAAACCAGCAGTGCAGAGATATCGGAATCTATTAACTCTATGTTTCGCTATTATCAGGAGTCTTCGGCCTGTTATGCTTATCTCTCTGATGTATCATCAAAAAAAGTCCTTCGCAGAGAGCAAATGGTTCACTAGAGGATGGACATTGCAAGAGCTGATTGCTCCGTCTACAATCATATTTTTTGACGAGAATTGGAAGGAGCTGGGGACTAAGGCAACTCTTCAAGAATCCATATCTAAATGCACACGTATACCTGAGAGTATCCTTTCCGGGGAGGATGGACTTGATACATTCAGTGTGGCACAACGAATGTCCTGGGCTGCAGAGAGACAGACAACAAGAATTGAAGATCGGGCATATTGTCTATTGGGTATATTCGGTGTCAATATACCGCTTCTCTATGGAGAAAGGGAGAATGCATTCATTCGGCTACAAGAAGAAATTATGCGTGTTTGCGAGGACCATAGTCTATTTGTGTGGAGATGCTCCGACACTCGTGGTATTCTTGCTACATCGCCGGCTGCCTTTATAGACTCTCACGATATTATGCAATTCAATCCTTTTGATACTCCAAACAGCCCATTCACAGTGACCAGTATAGGAGTTCATCTAGAACTTCGCATATTAGGTGTTGGGCCTGGCGGACTGGCCCTGGCGATTCTCCACTGCAAAAAACGTTATGGCAAAGATAAGCCAATCGCTATCTATGTGAAAGACACATTGCTGAATATGGAGCGTTTCACAAGAGTCCGGACTCCTGAATGTGAGAATATCTATCTGAATCATTTGGAAGCGTCTCAATATCCTCCGAGAAAGATCTGGCTTCAAGCCAGTCGCATCATGCGTATGCAAGAGCCAAAAGATGGACCTTCACTAAGCCCCTATTCTCGGGCAGCCTTGGCTTTGATAGTGGATTTCGATGAGCAAGCATCCCTTTTCAATGCGGTGACGCAGGGGTCCCTGGATATTGCATGGTTACTTTTAACCAAGGGCGAAGTGGAGGCGAACTTGAATCGAGCTTGGGATGGCTGTACTCTACTATCATGGGCTGCTGCAACCGGCCAAACCTCCATGACCAAATTGCTGCTTAAGAGAGGTGCAGCAGTCAATATAGATGGGGGCTCCGGTCAATCAGCACTTTCGTGCGCTGCTGAGAAGGGGCATCTGGAGACCTACAAGATCCTGCTCGGTGGAGGCGCTGACATTGATGCCAGGGGTGATAATAGGTCCCCACTGATATGGGCAGCTGAGAATGGTCATCAAGCCATGGTTCAATTACTATTTGAAGAGGGTGCCAATACCGAGACAAGGGATAAGTCGGGTAAAACACCCCTATTCACGGCTACTGAGAGGGGCCATGAGGCCTTAGTTGAACTACTACTACTTGGAGATGAAACCAACACTGAGGCAGAGGATAAATGGGATAGCACACCGCTATCCCTGGCTGCTAAAAACGGCCATGAGTCTATAGTGAGGCTGCTTCTCGACGCAGGTGCTGATGTTAGTGCAAAGGATCACTAGAAGAGGACACCTATGTGCTGGGCTACTATAGGAAAGCATACAGCCGTTATCAAGCTACTCCAGTCAAGGTCATAGACAGTTAATCTTCTCAACCTGGCTGTTTGACGAAGACCGAGAGGGAGGCATCAATCAAACGCGTACTTACACAGCGAGGTCTCGATATTATAGACCTCAATTTTATGGTAAACGTAGCCTTCCACAAGTGGTAACATAATAACTAGATATGTTTTCCAAAAGGGATGGGCTTGTTAGGTAGGTTTAGTGCACTTCCAAAATATATTAAATTTGTCACTAACTAGCCAGCGCGATATCACAGTACGATAGGGAAATCCGACATACGAGCAAGAATTCTCGGACATCTGAAGTAGCGTAATGATTCAGACATGTCTCTCCATGCGCAAGAGAAGAGGAGAAATGCAAGTCTGATTTAACGTTGCCAAAACGAGACAGCTCCAGTAAGGCAGTTTATACTTAGTCTGCATTACCGTAGTGAGTTGGTTTTTTGACTGCAACGAAAGATATATATTCAGGTAATTTTCTCAGCAAATATAGCATAGCCAAGGAACACCCGAATATTGAGGGAAGTAATATGTTGAGACCATCTGAAGCCTGAAAGCACTCTTACAGTGCCCAATCATTCCAATTCACTTCTGGTGAAGCCGGGAACTATAGACGCTTGGGCCTGGGATAAGAATAGAATTTAGACCCATTTACCTAGTCCGGTATAGGGTTAAGTAGTGGGGACTACGAGGTACATCTGTAAGAAGCAACAAGTTTTTAAAATTACTGCAAATCCTGCAAAACATTCATTGTAGAAGGATGTTTCAGACCTTAAGTTGGAGAATTACCCCTTTTCGAATTATCAATATTATGTAGTAGCCCTAGCAATTAGTGTGTAAAAGTCCACAAAGGATCGGGAGTCATAATATAGATTAGTAGTTATTCCTACTACATATTTCGGTTGCCTTTAGGTATGAAATATCATAAGTTTGTCAACCATGGAACACTTAACCGCGGTTCGAAACATAGTATAAAGGAAGCCAGGATGCATGTAAATACTGTATGCACAATTTGACAAGATAACTTCCTGATATTCCCTGCATTGCAACCTTGAAGCAAACTTGTCATACCAAATTAGTCGAAGCACAGACATCACATGACGTCTAAAGAAGGGGGCCAGATCTGTTATGTAATCGGGGGCTAAACCTGAATCGGGGACGAATGTAACAATAGATTGGCCCCGCGAGGCTCAAACGGTCACAGCCTCGAGCTGCCACTCGCTTTTCAGAGGATGCAGGGGTTGTGGTTATAAACCTATGATTCCCCCTAAAACTCCCGTATCTGCCTCACAAAAATTTCTTGCCCTTCGCAAGTGAACAGGCTCAGCGCGCCAAACTTCAAGGTGTTCCTGACCGCGGTTCCTGAATGCGGAGTTGCCAAGTTTCCTAATCCGGTCATCCATTTGAGTCTGGATATTTTGTCGTCATTCATTATCTTTAATTCTCTACCCGTTAATGACATTGTACTGTTCCCTGACGACCATATATAGAGCGCTTGGGAAAGAATGGCAGAAGAGACACAGGTCCTTTCCATCCAGCAAAGGATCGCCGCCCTGAACCAGGCGCAGGCCGGACAAAGTCCCCAGGCTGCCGCATCGCCGTTACTCGGGGCGCAACCAACCCCTTTCGCATCGCGTCCAGCTCCTTCGCGACAGCAAACGATCAATAATCCCCCAGTCAATTCTCATGGCTTTCTTAGCGATTGTTCGCCCGATAGAAATGAGCCAACGGGGGGCCAGCAACATCCTGTGCCTAGGCCACCACCAACACCTGTCCGGAAACCAGGGGCCCCTCCACCGTTGCCGGTTCGAAAAGCGTCAACCGAATCAGCACCAGCGCTACCACCGCGGAGACCGTCAGGGTTCTCTCGAAAGGAATCTAGGGACTCCCTAGGCTCAGATATCTCCCATTCAACGTCTACAAGTGCTGGAAGGGCTACAATAGCATCGACCACATCTAATAACTCGGATACCATCCGCAGCGTACGTGCGCCTGCCTGGGGTGCAAAGTTGCCTCCATTGCCACCGAAAAGGCAAGAGACGAAGACAGTTCAGCCGCCCCCACGACCGAGACCGTCGCCCGCAAACAGCAGCAGAAGCCTCTCGCAAGGTCGGCCCTCACTACCCCCTCGACGAGAGTCGACCAACAGCACGTCAACTAATGGGAGCCGCTCTACGTCTCGGCCTCCCCCGCCATTACCTTCTAGGATAAATAGTGACAAGTCACCCGGACCAAGTGCGGACACCAATGGCAAGCAATCGACGAGAAAACTGCCTCCGCCGCCTCCTTCGAGTGCTGCCCTAGAGAAGATTCAAAGTTCAGGGCTTGCAGGGATAAACCGGAACGCTGAGAGCTCTAAGCAAGAGACGAATGGTGGTGTACAAGAGTCGCAGCCGAACGGGGTGCCCCCACCAGTTCCCAGAGCGACACGTCCAGCTGTCGATCTCGCCAAACTTCAGGCGACTAAACCTAACCTTTGTAAAATCACGCATGCAGCTACGGCACCGAGCACACTGTGCTTGAAGTGCCGCGATTTCTCGGCGCCTGATGCTCACGCAGCGCGATATCCTCGCGAATCTCTGCCGTCTTACGACCTGGCATGGCTAGCAAGGGAACTGACAGCGCCGTTTCCTTCACCCACTGATAAAGCCAGGGCGTTGTTCACTTGGTTCCATCACAATATAGAATATGATGTGCATTCCTTCTTCAACAAATGCGTAAAACCTTCCACGCCAGCTGGGACTCTAGCGTCAGGACTGGCGGTGTGTGAGGGATACGCCAGTTTGTTTGCCACTCTCGCAACTCACGCTGGGCTGGAAGCGGTAGTAGTCGCTGGTCACGGCAAGGGCTATGGCTATGAAGCTCCAGCTCCAGGCTCCCCTATACCACCTATCTCGGCAACCGGACATGCCTGGAGTGCAGTGAGAATTGATAGTGGACAGTGGAAGCTGTTGGACGCCTGTTGGGGCGCGGGTGTAGTTCAGGGACCAGGTCGCCCTTACAAGAAGCAATTCAACCCTGCCATGTTCACCGACTCGAATGACGAGTTCGGGCTCCGACATTTCCCTTCCAACCGATCTCACTTCTTCCGGGATGATGGCCGGCCCGAGATCACTTGGGAGGAATACATCTTGGGCAACCCGAACTCACCATTGAGCGCTGAGCAGCCGACAATCTTTGGCGACGCAAAAAATCACAGCATCGGCGAACGGTCATTCCGTCCGGCGGCCAAGCAAATCTCCATCCACGACCCCAACCCGGTCCGGTTCCAGTTCAATCTCATCTGCGAACACTGGACTCTGGAGCATCACACCCGAGCCAAACCTGGGCTTTTCTTGCTGATGGTTCACGGCCTCGACGGTCGGCAAGAGGACCGTCTCCCCTTCACCCATGTCCGGGGCTCCGGACCGGGGGGAGGTGGGGACTTCTGGTATGTCGACGTACCGAATGCCAAGATACTGGGCGCACCCGGTCAGAAGCTAGCCATCGCCGTACTTACCAGCTTCGGGGATCGAAAGGACGCACGGGGCGTGACCGCGGAAGAATATCGGCAACAAGTCGGTCGGGTAGGAATGGCGTGGGCTTACATTGCGGAGTGGCAGCTGGTGTGATTTAGCGTGCAGCCTTAACGGTCTTGCGGGCTTGGAGTTTGGCGCCGCTTGGCTTTGTTCATGGCGACGTCCCCATTGGTTCTGAATTTCCCTAATACCCGATTCCTCGCACTCGAAGTTTCTTCCACTAGAACAGGGATCATGATGTTGCTTAGCATAGGATACACTAATGATAATGAATGACGCTTCTTCCGTAATCCCGAACGATCATGAATCCAGGCGGGGATCTGACTATCACCCCATAACAAGATGCACCAGATTGAACGGAATGACAATTAGAGATCGAGAATCTCCTTAGAGCCTCCTCGTGGAACAAGCCGAATTCGGGCGACGACCGAGGAAACATGAAAACCACACTAACCCTACGGACGGAAGTACCTTGGCTAAATAGCCATATAGATTCTTTCTTTACGTGACCAAGGACCCCAGTTATTAGTCAAGGCTGAATCAGGCAGTAGAGGAACATGCCTTGACCATTCAGAGGGGAGATATCGGGGTATAACCGCAAGATCACCTTTTCTTGAATTTAAAAATCCAATCATGTTAAGTAAGTCTATGGCCACAATCCTTCTTCCCCCTAACGTGAGGGAGATTATAAAACGTAAGAAATTGGAAAAGTTAAAGCGATTCAGAGAAGGGGGCCAAGGGAAAAAATTTTCACGGTCATAAGCCTTTGTGGCTTGATACAAGACAACGCTACGGGTAGGAGGTAAAGGTTGTCGGCTAATATCATAATGCTGCTAAATTAGTATCGTGGATACGAGCCCCCCTCACATGGTACAGTCCAGCATTGCCTTGGGTACAGACATACTACTACATACGTACGTGGCAATACTCCCGTTGCTGCAACGCAGGTATCCTATATTAGAAGCAATATAACATGACACTAAGTAATATGAGGGAATAATGGCTGTAAACCTTGCCAGGGATATGCAAAACTGTGATCGAGTACTCCATACCATCGATGTATCTGAGCGCTGCAAAGGGCCCCACCAGCCAGAAGACCGCCTCGCATGGCACGGGACATCAGTTGTAGCGTTGATAATTGTTGAGCATTCTTTACTGTGGTACGCCGTATAGTTTATGGATTTTTTTTTGCACCAAATATATGAATCATGTTCTTGCCTTCTTCTTTCCTTCTTATTTTTGTTTATAATTCTCAGGTTATTCCATGATACCAGCAGCATGACTCGTGATGTGCCGCTGCCCTAATTGGTGGAATTTCCGATTCTGGAAATGGCACGTTGGCCGAGGCACATGCTGTTGGTCCCTCCAATCAGGAACGTTCCTTCGGGGCTTGGGGAAAATTGAAATGGGGTCTTTTCATTTGTTCACCTTATTTTCGCCCCCTTTCGCTCCTCATCTCCACTTTCTCTCTTACTCTCTCGGGTTAAATCGTCTCTTAGTATGGAGCCTAAGATTCTAGGCTGGAAATTGTTTTGTTTGTTCTGGGGAATTGGTCGGGGGTTTGGGGCCCCTCTATTCCTCCACATTCAACATCCACCGAACCTCAACGCTCACCACCACCACCACTAAAGCTCATCAACTGTTTCTGAATCCATTCGGGTCCATGGAACCCACTAAGCGATTTCAGATTTTTCATTTCGCGTTGAATGGCATGTTCCGAGGCGGTTGAGGAGTAGTTCCCGTGCCTGTTTAGGTTCTGTTTTGGTAAAGTGATGGATGTCAGCGATCGGCACCCTCTTCTATTGATCGAACCTGCTCTGCACAGTATATTTCCTTTTTTGCTTTTCTAACTTTTGTTTATTTTATATATTTATTTTAATTATTATTATTTTTTTTTCTAGTTTTCAATCACTCGGACCTTTTTTTTTTCTTTTGCTTTTTTCACTCCTCACTTGACAAGCGCCGTGACGGGAAGTCCGTCCTTGGGAATCAATTTACACCCCCGACGGCCGGGAAAGGAAGCAATGTGTGCCGATCCGTCTGCAATCGGCTCTGTTCAAAGGCAATTCGCTCTCAAGGATACGACTCGCCGTGTTTTGCCCTCCGGCGCAATAGGTCACTTTCGGTGTCTCTTCCTTTCACGGCCCCATCGGCTTAGGAACACTAGTCTTAACCCGCGTGGTCAGGCTTCCCCGGATCCCTCCACGTCGCACCTCTGGTTCGTCGAACAACCCGGCTTTACACTATCCACCGGAGTTATGCATTGTGCTGACCACGACCCTTCCGTCCTTGATTACTTCTCAAACGGCTCCCCTTGGCCTAAGGTCGCAGCCGGTGGAGCCGAGATGTGGTCCTCCATTTCCCAGTCTCCCAATGAATCGTTTCAGCGAAATGATTGCATGGATGCTTGATCATGGGATTGGTTACTCTGGCCTGATCCCCTCACTGACCCTAAATCTCCAGACCATGTGTTGCCTCCCCGCGGGTTTCCCCATTCTTACTGAATGAGGAACCCGTCCGTTTTGGACTCGGACAGCCGAAAGGCTACTACCCTGTGTCATCATTGACAGAAGAGCTGCTCCGGTGGGCCGTCTATATGATGTGTCTGATCCATGATTGGATATGGTTTTCTGGTTGTCTCACCGGTTGGATTCCAGTGAATCTCGCTAGCTAGCTTAGACTAATCTCGCCAGTCGCATGGCGTGCAGCCCTTTCCCCATTATGGCACTTCGGGTCGGTACAGGCTCAAGCGTCATCAGGAATTTAGACGGAATTGGCCGTCATTCGATGCGACATCGAAAGGCAAAATTTCCGTCCCCTGCTCTCGGGTATATTAAGACCGGCCCGTCCCCTACGGTGGTTTAAAACTTTTTTATTACACAGTTTTTGTACCTCCCTCTTCTGTGGCTTCTGTCTTCATCAGGTAGCAGTCTACCCCATCCTGCTTAGAGTGGAGTGGTGAGGTACATCTTGCCTTCAAGATGGCCATTGGCAACATTTATGTCATTGCGGCCATCGCCGTTATCGGCGGTGGTCTTTTCGGTTTCGATATCTCGTCCATGTCTGCGATTATCGGTACAAACACCTATAAGTGTTATTTCAACAACGGAGGGAGTGTGACGATCAATGAGAACGGTGAAAAGGAATGTGGAGGCCCCGATACAATGACCCAGGGTGGTATCACTGCAGCCATGGCTGGTGGCTCCTGGTTAGGTGCTCTGTGCTCTGGATACCTGTCTGATATGCTCGGCCGTAAGCAGTCAATCATGATTGGTTCCGTGATTTGGTAGGCCTACAAATATTGCACCCCGTTTGGGACTTTCCTAACCGTTGACCAGGTGCATTGGATGTATTCTTGTTTGCGCCGCCCAGAACATTCCCATGTTGATTGTTGGTCGTATCATCAACGGTTTCAGTGTCGGTATCTGCTCCGCTCAGGTCCCGGTCTACATCTCTGAGATCGTAAGTATCTACTATGGCCTTGACCTTTGACTCTTGGCAACTTGCTGACCCCTCATCCAGGCCCCTCCTACTAAGCGTGGTCGCCTTGTTGGTCTTCAGCAATGGGCCATCACGTGGGGTATCTTGATCATGTTCTAGTAAGTCTAATCACGGAGCTCCCCACTACTGTCTCCAGACTAACAGTTGATCCCTCTGTAGCATCTCTTATGGATGCAGCTTTATCAAGGGCACCGCCGCTTTCCGGATTCCCTGGGGTCTGCAGATGATTCCTGCCATCCTTCTTTTCCTCGGAATGATGTTGCTTCCTGAGTCTCCTCGTTGGCTGGCCCGTAAGGACCGTTGGGAGGAGTGCCATGCTGTCCTTACCTTGGTTCATGGTCACGGCGACCCGGACTCTCCTTTTGTCCAGAGCGAATTCGAGGAGATCAAGGGCATGTGTGAATTTGAACGTCAGAATGCCGACGTGAGCTTCATGGAGCTCATCAAGCCGAACATGATCAACCGTACTCACGTCGGTGTCTTTACGCAAATCTGGTCCCAGCTTACAGGCATGAACGTGATGATGTACTACATTACGTATGTGTTTGCGATGGCCGGGTTGAATGGTAACAACCTTCTGGTGTCTTCCAGTATTCAATATGTGATCAACGTGTTCATGACTATCCCTGCTATCCTGTGGCTGGATCGCTGGGGTCGCCGCCCCACTCTCCTTATTGGTGCGGCCCTCATGGCGACCTGGCTGTACGCCAATGCTGGTCTGATGGCCGCACACGGCCATGCCGCTCCCCCAGGCGGTCTCAATGGAACACCCGCAGAGTCCTGGGAGATCACCGGCCCTCCCTCCAAGGCTGTCATTGCGTGCACCTACCTATTCGTCGCCTCCTACGCCATCACCTGGGGTCCCGCCTCGTGGGTGTACCCTCCCGAACTCTTCCCTCTGCGTGTCCGTGGCAAGGCCAACGCTCTGTGCACCTCGTTTAACTGGGCCTTCAACTTCGCTCTGGGTTGGTTCGTTCCCCCTGCCTTCGAGAACATCAAGTGGCAGGTCTACATCGTCTTCGGTGTCTTCTGTACTGCCATGTTCATCCATGTGTTTTTCATGTTCCCTGAAACCGCTGGTAAGACCCTGGAAGACGTCGAGGCCATCTTCACCGACCCCACCGGTCTTCCGTACATCGGTATTCCCGCCTGGAAGACCAAGAACGAATTCTCGCGCGGCGCCACCCTGGAACAGGTCGGCTTCGACGAGGAGAAGAAGGTCGGCGGTACTGTCCAGCATTCTGAGACCGCATAATTGGATTATGCAGGACTTGAGAAGTAGTAGACTTTTGGGGTTGAATTCTGAAAATATTTAATTACTCGCCTATATACCAACCTAACAAATCTCTCCTTTCATGTGGGTTTGTTATGAACATGTGTGACTTAATTAGTTCATGTTTACGAGAGAACGATGATGTCTTGATACCTAGTGTTTCTATGTGATAGCTTCTAATTCACTCGTGCTTTTTTATAATATTTATTCTCAACCATTTACAACTGTCTTTTGTGTATAGAATGACGGAAGTAATGCAACAAACCCCAACATAATAACTATGGCATACCTCTTCCCTTTGCAAAAGAATCACTATCCACTCAGCTCAGCAATACATCTTACAAACAAACATATTCAAACATTCTGGAATAGAACCACATATACCAACCAACTGAACTAATGACATTGAATTCATCCATACAACAACTGGCTACTCTATGAGGTATATCATTGCAGCTAAAACAAGCAAGTCCGACTCAAACCCGCCATAGCACGACAGTAACAGGCCGTTGTCGTCGCACTTCGGGAAGCCGACTTGAAACATTCGGGACTTGCCTGTCCCCTCAGCGCCAATAAGTCGGTTTCTTGGCTGCATCTCAAGAAGTTTCATCCCGACGTATCGGGGAATCTATTCCGCAGGGCCAAGATGGTCTGTGCTGAAGAGCCTTATTTTGGTTTCGTAATGGGTGGTCTTATAGATACGAGTAGTACGGATTTGGAAGTAAGAGATAGTGATATGGACTTAAGGTGTAGGCACTTGACCTGTGTGCTTGAAACATGTTCTTTTATGACGAAGATTCACAAGTCCACATCCAGAAGTAACAAACCTGAGAGATGTTCAAGAAAAGTCTAGTAACTACAACTTCCTCGGCTGAAACACAACTTGCAAAGGCGGCAAAAATGTGGTAAACGTATCCAACGCATCATTCCAAAACGCCTCTCCGGTCTCTCCAGGCGCAAACCTGATATCGTAACGCTGTGCCAGGGTAGATACGGCCACGCGGAGACTAAGCATAGCTAGATTCTTCCCTACGCAGCCGTAGACCCCTATGGTAATTCCAATGTTAATAATCTGTATCTACGCCTGGTATAGCATACTCCACATCGTGTAGAAGAGTAACGGCAGCGAAGCAAGGGAAGAAATAAAAACTCACCCAAAGAAAACGGAAAATAAGGCGCCTTGTCAGTCCCCCACTCGACCTTCTTTTCACCCCATCGCTCGGGAATAAATTGCTTGGAAAATTTGTAGTATCGTTCGTCTGTTTGGATTAGCTGCGGTGGAACGAACACGTTAACGTCTCCTGGGATGAAGACTTCGTCGATCTGGAGGCCCTTGGAGGACGTTACGCGGTATCCACTGCTTGAGACGGGGGGCCGCAGACGGAGACTTTCGTGGATTATGTCGTCGATGTAGGATATGGGTTTGGTTCTGTCATAGGTCCAGCTTTGGGGGCCGTTGGGCATTGCGCTGTCGAGTTGGGTTTGGAGTTTTCGGAGGACTTGAGGATGTTTGGCGAGGAAGTAGATGGTGTTCGCTAGAGCTGAGGCGGTTGTGTCGCTGGTTCTGTTGAGTTAGATGTGCTAGGTTTGGGGGGCACTTTTCTATTCCAAAAAAAAAAAAAAAGAAAAAAAAAGAGGCAGAAATACGTACCTGCCAGCAATCACCACCACCCGCGAGTCGTCATGAAGAGCTGGTTCGGACGGTGGCGCCGACACGTCGTTGTCTATGAAAGCTTTCAAGATCCAGGAAACAATGTCTTGGGGATATTTCTCGTGGTCCCAACTCTGTTGCGTCAAACCGGCTTATACGTTAGTCCCGTGCACAATCAATCTACAGCCAAACCAGAAGAATAAGGAGGACTTGATACCTTGCGCTTGCTTTCAACTTGATCAGTGCACCACTTGAAAAAACCCTGATACCCAGCCGCCGCGCCTGGTAACTTACCAAGCATATTCAAAAGCCACGGAAGATGGCTCGCGATGGCAATGAAGCGCATATGGTCACGAACAGCATTGATAGCAGGGTGCGCCTTCCCCATTGTGAGATTACCAAAGTCCTTACCAAACCCGACGTCTCCCATGATATCGAAGGTGAAAAGCATAGACCAGGTGGTTGCATCGAGCGGCTTTCCTTGGTTGGCTTCGATCTGGGCAATGAGCTTCTTCGCCTGCGCTATGACACGGGGTTCGTAGACGCTGAGGGCTATTACTTGCTCTTTAGTATAGGACTAGGGTGACATGTTTACTATCTGTGGACGCGGGATTGACCAACATTTGATACTGAAGGCTCGGTCCCACGCCCTTCTTCGTCGCCGATGGTCGTTGAAGTCACGGCTTAGAGCCATGCATATTTTCGTGTGATCTACATCCAAGTGCCCGTACCAGGTTGACTTGCGACATTCAGTATGGGGACCGTAGATTAGGGGCAGTGCTGTATTTCGGAGGATAGAGATCTCACGGGGCCCTGGCATGGTTCCTGATTAAAGAAGGCTTTGCGGATGTTTAGTTAGAATAGCTTGCCTGTGCGGACGAAGTTGCCGTACTGCTCGTGGAGCTTTTTAAGTTCCACATTGTATTGGATATTCTTTGCCGCTAGGAAAGCGCTGTAGAAACGGGTGAGCTTGCATGCGAAGGGCCCAGGAAAAGGATGGAGTCGGTGGAAGAATAATCTGTATATACTAATACTACTAATGAGGCTGATGTTGAACGAAGTGGTGAGCAATGTAACTCTGCCTAGAGCTTGCATTGGAGAGAGCACCGTGATTGTGAAGTATGCATAGAATAAAGATATTACAGTCGCGGCGTAGAGCGCCAGTAGATTATAGATGAGATTTTCCACACAAATGGACGTGCGAAAGATGGTTGTATGCAGAAGAACTCCTAAAAGTGCTGCAGACCCTCCTAGCTGGAAAAGATCCGCTTGAAGCACTTCTTTAAGGTTTTCTTGGAGCAGTAATGATGCGAAATCCATTATAGGTGAGAATTCAGTGCGAAAGACGCCAGGAAAGGACTGTATCTGGACCTCTTCGCGCACTTTTATTACGGTTTCCTCTTTAACAGAGGTTGGCGTGCCTCTGCCCTTTAGTCTGATCGTCATCGTCGCTTTCCTCTCCCTGGAATAAGAAAATATGCGGCCAACATGCTTTCGAGGCGCATGGATCACTACGAATCATATTCCCACTTTGAATATGTTATCTATACAGGCCCCCATCAAGGTGCATGGCTACTGGCACAGTTTGATTCCTTCGTGATGTAAGCTACGCCTGAAAATCAGGGCAGCGGATATGAGTCTGAACCTACAATGCTATGATTTTGATATGTTATTCGTGCATGAGGAGTTCATGATCCATGGTAGACCTTGCCGTCTGGATCCCAAGAGGGATTGTGGCTTGTGCCGCGACTAAAAGAGACTCTGAATATTCCACAAGCCACATTTGCCGTCGTTTGCTGTGCTCAAGGGGATGGCTAGGACACTCACATGGCGATTCTAAAAACGTTCTTCAACATTAGTTTTGTCTCCAACTCCAGATAATTCCAGCAACTTAGGGATATGAAGTACTTCGGCGGCAAGAATGACTTACTTCGACGACGTCTGAACTGTCACAGCCGGAACCCCATCGGCAGCCACAGCCACGGCCTTGTGTGGAGATGGCAGGAATATAACACGGCGCGCATTTGCTCCAGTAGAGATAGTGGCATCATCGCTCTTTGGTAAAGCGTTGGCATACTGAGTCGGCGCCACTTTACACTCCAGAACTGGGGTTAATCGGAGCGGTTTAGGGCCGAGTCCAAATGATCTCCTTCGCTTGTTTATACTCATAGCTTGGTCTTCTGAGTGCTCTATCCATACGTGGACCCCGTCATTTTGCTGTTCTTTTAGGGCAATATAGGCCACTCGGACTGAGCCAGGTCATGGATCATGACGATGCAAAAGGGTCGTCCTAGCCTGTATCTAGGTAAAAAAGTCAGAGAGGATAGGCTCTTCTGGGGTACAGGTGTAAAACACTGCAAATTCAATTGGCATTGCTTTAAGACACCCATGCAACGATTCAATGAAGGAGCAATGGATACGCACCCTTGGAACGAACCACCCAGGACTCTTCCAGCTGGGTACTTTAACTCTTATTCGTGGGGTGATATTTGCGTGGCAATAATATCTAGATCCAAACTGCAAATCAATACGATTGCATGCCTGTGCAACAGACTTGGGCTGCCAGTCTAAACCCATCTCTGCGAGGTTCCTATATGCCGCACCTGGTGTCCGCTGTGTGATCACAATCGCTCTCCACCACAATCATTCGTACACAGGAGTTTCTGAGTATCGGCGGCGGCTACTGAACCGAAGGTACCACCATTGACACTCGGAGGGGATCCAGCCGATGCCATGATATCCATCCGACGTAGTAGCCTCTTCTTGCGAACGCTTATCTATTGTTCCTTCAGCCAAATAGACTCTAAAAAGCACATAGAACTAGGCTGAGGCTGAGGCTACGTCGGGCTTATGGGTAGATTGACGCATACTAAGGCCCCCACTCAGCGTCGTCTACTGTGATAAGGTTCTGCACCTCGACGTTTACTATCCTCATCGTAAGAACAAAGCAGTTTTAAACGTGTCCGAAGGATAATCTCAGTCGCCATAGTGGTCAACCCTGAAAGAGGAGTCATGTATATAAATGGACTCTACTCCGTAGTTGATCTTGGATTCAGCGTCTATGACAATTTATCTGTTCTTGTTTGTCGGACTCCTTAGGGCGTGTCTGACCAACATGGGGGCCCGGCTACAGGTGCACTATGATGTTTTAGCAAAGCTGCCGCTATCTCGGGTATCATCCACAGTAGAATGTGTGTATACGCTGATCTTTTTGGTTGCCAAAGGTACTTAAGTCATTCAGACCATTGATGTAAGGATATGATGATACGTAGGTGGAAAGAATAAATCGCGTCGATTCGAGATGGTTGAGTCCAACTGAGTAAGAGTACTCCGTAGTTGAGGTTTCCACCTTGTCCGGTTAAGCGCCTCATCCTCGGTCCAATTCCACCTCAAATAGAATACCGCTGATCGCATGTGGGACTAGTCGACTTTCAGGAGTCTTGGCGTCAGAATACTTCATTTCGAGACGACAACGGTGACATTTGTGGATTATGATAGCGGTCTGCAACTGTTGCATCGAGTACAACCTGACCTTGCAGCGGGTACATGACTGTGTACCGAATAATGTCTAAGAACGAGTAAGTAGTAAAGGATGACGATAAGTTTCAAAAGACGACCCAACATATGGGCGGGATTCCGTCAATCGCTGAATGGTTGTGTTGGCGGTGGAGCCCGGGGCGGAGGAAAAAAAAAAAAAGAAAAAAAGCCCCCCTGGATTGGGTTTAATTTGCGCTCTTGACAATTCAAACGAATTAGGTGTCTCGTACTCGTACCCCAGCAGTTCTCGATTTCTTAGGGTCAGGGCTTTTCAACTTTCGTCGGTACATTCTCTTTTTGTGTTCTTTTGTTGTTCTCTCTCTGACCCTGTCCTCTTCTTTATTTCTATTCTGTTTCCCCTTATCTTCGATTCCGCTCCGATACGGCGGAGGATCCCGCGTTGGAATACGAGAAAATCACTCTTACGAAAGCCGACGCTGATCGAGATACGCTCCGGGAAAACGCCAGGGAGAACGTCAAGGAGGACAATCATAGGACGACTTCAGAATTGGATTAGCACTCACCGTATTCATCTGATCATGGCTCGCGGGCGGAGCTCGAGTAACTTGGGCGCGGACATCCCGGGTGACACCAGCGCACCAGCAATGTCGACCATGAATGAGGTCAGCCCGACTGAAACGGATGCTCCAAAATGGAATAAGGTATGGTCTCGATCAATTGCGCAGCACTCATGCGAGCCTACGCTCACGCCGGCCTATGGTATCGCAGTCTTCCGAGAAGTCGCTCAAGTCGCAATCGAAGCGTCGCAAAAGCAGATCCCTACTCCGCCGCTTTAAAGACAAATGCCTGAAGCATACATGGTTACTGCCTCTTGTCATGTTGATTGTTCTGCTCGCCCTGTATGCAATCAACCCCAACCCGTCCAATCCGCTACATAGCGCAATCTTTCTGTCCTACCCTCAAGGGCCGAAAACCCCTGGTGGCCCGGTCATGTACGGAAAAGGTCCTAAGGACATTGCCTTTGTCTCGTTCTACACCATTGTCTTATCCTTCACTCGGGAATTCATCATGCAGCGCATCATCCGGCCGTGGGCGATATACTGCGGAATTCGCGGCAAAGGCAAGACTGCGCGCTTCATGGAGCAGGTGTACACAGCGATCTACTTCGGGATCTTCGGTCCATTTGGTTTGTACGTGATGTACAGGTCTGATATTTGGTACTTCAACACAACGGCGATGTATGAGGGTTTCCCGCATCGGGAGCATGAGGCGCTGTTTAAAGCCTACTATCTGTTGCAAGCGAGCTACTGGGCTCAACAAGCCATTGTGCTCTTACTCCAGCTAGAGAAGCCCCGAAAGGACTTCAAAGAACTTGTCGGACATCACATCATCACTTTGGCTCTCATCGCTCTAAGCTATCGGTTCCACTTCACCTACATGGGTATTGCGGTCTACATCACGCACGATGTCTCTGACTTCTTCCTCGCGGTATGTATACGTCCTGATCATCTCCCGGTGATAGATACTGACAGCACTAGACTTCGAAAACACTCAACTACCTTGATTCGTTCATTACTCCACCATATTTCGGTATGTTTGTTGGAATGTGGATCTACCTCCGCCACTACCTGAACTTGAAGATTCTCTGGGCGGTTCTTACCGAATTCCGAACCGTTGGTCCTTTCGAGTTAAACTGGGAGACCCAGCAATACAAGTGCTGGATCAGTCAATATATCACCTTTGCCTTGCTGGCGAGCTTGCAGGCCGTCAACCTTTTCTGGCTTTTCTTGATCCTTCGCATCCTAAAGAACTACGTCTTCAACAGTATCAGGAAGGATGAGCGCAGTGATGACGAGGATACGGAGGAGGAAGAAGAAGCGGAACAGGAGCAAAACGGCCGTGCTACTCTGGCGACTGGAGCTGAAGTGCCCACCGTTACTGCCCGAAATGTCGGTAAGGAGAACCAAGCTCCGCAAGTTCTGGTAAACGGGGAGCCCCTCAACGAGAAGTCCTCTAGCCGCCGGTAGAAGTTGCGCTCTAGCACTTCTATGCGCTTCAAAATGCAGGGCTTGTCTCATGCGGTGTTGCCGGAGTTTGCACTGCTTTCTCTCTTTCTTAGCTCTTGGGCGACTTGGGTCAACAACTCATATTTCGCCGTTTTCATGTGGCGGTTTACTTTGGTCTGCTTCTACATGAAGCATTTTGCATGGTTGTCGCATGGGTATTCATGGTCTACGAGATTTGCTTCGCTGCACACATTTATTTCTCTTTCCTCTTATATATTTGGTCGTCTGGCGTTGTGCATGACACAGCTGAATGGATATAGTGACGATTCCATTGATGTGCGCTGAGGGAGGGAATCCTGGGGAGGTCTACGCGCAATTATCATATAATAATAATAATAGATCTGCGCTGGTAGGTTATCTGCGCCAAGATTCAAAGTTCACGTCCACTTCACTTTCAGTAGCTGGTTACAAGCTCAAGAGAACATGCATGATTAACACCTCGGCCACATAGGCCATCAAGCCCCCACATTGTTACAGATACAAGCGTCTTGTCGGGGGCAAGAATTCACGTGAAATTGGATCAGTGTTGTA